CTTTGCGTTACACACACCTGCCTGTGAAGAATATGCATGATGGTATGGTAGGTAATTTGATTAACCTTGTTGGATTAAGAAGTACCTAGGGGATTAAGTAGCCACACCTTTGGGTGTGTCTGTGAAGTTGTTTCTAGATGGATTTGCATGAAGAAAGAAGACCCACCCTGAATGTGACTGACTGCATCCTATGGGCTTTGTTCCTGAACAAAATACAAATAGGAAGCCAATGAAGCAACAGTATTTTGTTTCTCTGCATCCAGATCTGCCCATGTGTGAGGAAACCCCCAATCCCCACCCCTTCCCTACTGTGGTGGACACCTTCCCTATGATGGTGGATTGTATTCCTTTAAACTGGGAACCAAAATAAATCTTACTTCCTTTAAGTTAGTCTGTTTCAAATATTTGGTCATGGCACTAAGACAGTTAACTAATCCATTATGCGACACAAATTTTGTTCCTTTTTGGGTTTATGATTAAACACTACAGAATCAGAATAATTGGCAAATGAGCAGGTTAGAATTTATGTGGCATTCATGAGTTTTGGGACTTCAATATTGAGTTTCAGTAAAAATGTCAGCCTAAAAACCATATACTTCATGTCAAGGATCCAAGACTCGTTAATACTTCTTCTATGTGGATCCAGCTTATTTTTTATATTATTTATATTATTTATAGTTGACAAAATGCTTCCACGTTCATTATTCCATTAGTTCCAAATCTGCCTCTGATATGTCTCTCATCTACAATCTGTCCCTTCTGACAATATTATTTGTATTAGCATTGTTATTCTTAGAATTATTATCTCCAATTTAGTCCTATACATAATCCCACCTCTTCCAATTTCATGTACAAGTTTATTTGTACCTTGTTTCACTTAATTTATGTAGAAATCATCCCAGATATGAACATAAAGACCTCACCTTTGCTTAAAAACCGGTATTGCACCATTTGTATGAATTATTATTTGTCCAAATAGGCTCCTACTAATGAAGACTTACATAGTTTTGAATCTTTTGGCATAGTAAAAAAAAGTTACAATTAGAAATCCTTGAACATAAATCACTCACCTGTATGGAAATATATCTTCAGGGTAAATGTCAAGACTGTTAGGTAAAAGGGTGTATATACTTGAAAGTTGTCCTCATAGCGTATTGCTTGTACCTACTTGCATTCTCATCAGCAATTCTGAAGTGACCTGCTTCAGTACACCTTTCCAATGGCAGTTCCTTAGACTTTTTCATATTTATGAATATGATACTATGAAACACAATCTTTCACTATAGTTTTAATCTCCAATTATTGTTTTAGGAGTGAAGTGGTAGGATGAGATGGGACATTGTATCTTACAGAGAGCTATTTCCTTCTCATACTCTGGGAAGTATTTGCATCTATTCCTTTCCAATGAACCAACAATCTTTTATAACATACTGGGAGTAGTTCCTATTTGTTACAGAAAATTGTTCTTTGTGTGTGTTGCTTTTGAATCTTAACTTCATGACCCTGCCACTCTACCAAACAAATAAAACATCATTTCCAATTGATTTATGGATCACTTACATTATTTATTAGCATGTAAAGATACTTCTTTTTGTTTTTCTTTCTTCTAATTAGTTTATAATATTGATGAACTCAATATCCCATTATCTTTCCTTTTCTTTTTAAAGAATTGCAACGTGTTCACCAAAAATAAACCAGTCTCTCTGAGTGACCTGCCTTTCAAAAGGCATTTCCTTTTCTTGGAACATTTTTCCAGACTATCTGGGAAGAAATGAGCATGTCCTGATATACCTTCTAGATTTTCAGTGGCTCCAATCTCTTGAATCTAAGCTCTTTGGACCCCAGATTTCTTTTTTCTTTTTGAGTGCTTGTGACAGCCAGTTGTATTCCTTACGTTTGTTCTCTTCAACCTTAACCCGAAGCAATTTCTTGCTCTGAACTCATTTCTTGGGTTGGTGTGCCCATGCCTGTTTGCTAGTTTTCTAGGACTGTCCTTTTAAAAGCAAAAACTAGAAACCACCACTCTTTCCCCTCTTTCCCATGACCTCCTGTCCACAGATGAATTTTGGTGGATTATGGAAAACCAAACACAAATTCCAAACCCATAAAGGACAGATTGTAATTGAGAAACTCTTTGTTTTCATGCTATTCATCTGGCTTTTGAGCAATAGCACAAAACTTTCTTTGTCTCTTGAAAACAGAAAGAACCTCTTAACTCACCATGTATTTAAATCTGCAGAAATGCAATGGGTGAGCTAAATCATGAATCCTTGCTTGGGATAAAGGTGATGCTCCGAGCAACTCTTTCTCAAGGCACGTACACTGCTAAATTTGCAACTATGAATGGACTCAGGTAAAAGTTTGAGAGGAAGTTTTACAAGTTCAAAGATTTACGGTGAGAATAATAATGTAAGGAGCTGGAAATAAAAGGGCTATAGATCTGAGATTAGATTTAGCCTGCAAAAGAAAAATTGCCAGAGTAATTTCAAGGTAACAAAATAAGGAACCCTGTGAAAGAAGCCTGTACAGGATAAGGACAAATTCAGGTTAGAAAGAAGAAGGCATTTCACTTGAATATGCTCCCCATTCAAAAGTAAAACTGTAGAGTTTTTCTTATTTTAATAATAAATTAGGAAAACTCAGACTGGTGTTTCAAATGTGAAGGATTGCTTTGGGGCTAGCAGAGGGTTAGATGGTGAGGTGGTTTTAAAAGATAATGGCCCCCAAAGTGAGTGGCAGTATTAGGAGGTGTGGCCTTGTTAGAGAAAGTGTGTCATTGTGAGGGCGGCCTTTGAGGTCTCTTTTCTCAAGCTTCTCTCAGTGTCACAGTCAGTCTACTTCCTGTTGCTTCTCAGTATCACAGTCAGTCTACTTCCTGTTGCTTCTCAGTATCACAGTCAGTCTACTTCCTGTTGCTTCTCAGTATCACAGTCAGTCTACTTCCTGTTGCTTCTCAGTATCACAGTCAGTCTACTTCCTGTTGCTTCTAAGTCAAGATGTAAGGACCCTCAGCTTTGGCACCACATCGGCCTGCATGCTCCCATGCCCCCTGCCATGATGATAATGGACTGAACCTCTGAAACTCTAAGAGAGCCTCCTCAATGAACTGTTTTCTTTATAGAATTGCCTGGTTATGGTGTTCCTTCACGGCAATAAAAACCTAACTAAGACAGTTGCTTTCTTAGAGTCTAGCCATCCTATGGCCGGGTGCATCAGACTGCATCCCAACATCATTGATTTCTGCGGATAGTTTAGCAGAGGGTTAGATAGATGACTATGGATAGTATTTCCTCCTGGTTGCCAGACTCGTATCTCCACAAACCAGACACTAGGAGAGGAAAGCTGACAAAATTTTGTGGGCATGACAATAGAGAGAAAAGTAGCTTACCATGACACCCAGTTGAGGCTTCTGAGAAATACAGAATCAAGAACTCCAGCTAGAGAATCCCAGCACAGTTAACAACTGCTTAAGTCCTTTCTCCTTAGGAGCTACAAGCCTGCAGTTTTCTAGGAATCTCAATAAAAACCTCATTTAGTGGGGGAGTAGGAAGTGTGCTAAATCCACCATGCAACCATATTGATTTTGGTTTTTCCCTTATTGGATTGTATTTTATTCCAGGCATCTTTGGAATTTACCTTGCACAATTTCTTATCAAGAATGAGATAGCAAAGGACGCAGTCAACAAGACAAAAAGGCAGTCCACAGAATGGGAAAAGATATCCACTAACCCCACATCTGACTGAGGGCTAATCTCTAAAATTTACAAAGAACTCAAGAAGCAAGTCTCCAAAACACCAAAGGATACAATTAAAAGGTGGAGTACAGAACTAAATAGAGAATTCTCAATAGAGGAGGCTAAAATGGCCAAGAGACACTTAAGAAAGTGCTCAACATCCTTAGCCATCTGGGAAATGCAAATCAAAACAACTCTGAGATACCATCTTATTCCTGTCAGAATGGCTAAAACCAAAAACAATGAAGACAATTTATGCTGGAGAGGATGTGGAGAGAGGGGACCACTCCTCCACTGCTGGTGGGAGTGCCAACTCATACAGCCACTTTGGAAAGCAGTATGGAGATTCCTCAGGAAAATGGGAATTAATCTACCACAAGACCCAGCAATTCCACTCTTAGGCATATATCCAAATGAGGCAAATTCATACAACAAGGGCATCTGCTCCACTATGTTCATAGCAGCATTATTTGTAATAGCCAGAACCTGGAAGCAACCTAGATGCCCCTCAACTGAAGAGTGGATAGAGAAAATGTGGTACATTTACACAATGGAGTATTACTCAGCAGAAAAAACATTGGAATCTTGAAATTCGCAGGTAAATGGATAGCACTGGAAGAAACCATCCTGCGTGAGGTAACCCAGTCACAAAAAGACAAACATGGTATGTACTCACTCATATATGGATTTTAGACATGGATCAGGATAGTGCCAGTCTGCACTTCCACTGATAGAGAGTCTGGGAAACAGCAAAAGCCCTAAAAGTTATGCATAGTACCCAAGACAAGAGGAATGAGGCTAGATCCTCTGAACAGATGGGGAACATGGCGAGTGGTGTGGGTAGTGGGAGCTGGGAAGAAGAGAGGGGGAGAAGACGAAGAGAGAGTAGGTCATGGGGAAACAGGAAGGTTGAGTGGGGGGGGTAAAATAGGGGGATGAGGGAATCATAGGTTAGAAGACAGATCAGGCACCAGTGTGACCTCTAGTGATCTAAAGGGGATGACACCAATTGGCAAGCTAAGCAATAGTGGAGGATCACCTCGAATGCCCATTCCTGATAATGAACTTGATGTCTGTAACCATCTGGGAGCCTTCATCCAGTGACTGATGGAAGCAGAGGCAAACACCCACAGTTAAGCATTGAACTGAACCCAAGGAACCCAGTGACAGAGAGAGAGGAGTGATGAGCAAATTGGCAAAGAATGGGCTGGCAAAACCAGCAGAGACAGCTGATCTGAACAGGGGAGAGCTCTTGGACCCCAGATCGACAGCGGGGAGGCCAGCATGGGGCTGATCCAGAACCCCTGAATGTGAGTGTCAGTGAGAAGGCCTGGGAAACCTATGGGGCCCTGAGCAGTGGATCAGTGTTTATCCCTGGAATACAAACAGTCATCGTGTGCCCATAGCACAAAGAGGGATGCTCTTTCAACCTGGACTCTTAGGGGAGTGCCGGGACCCTATCCTGAGTGAAATGACAGACTCTAGATATCACCTATGTGGAAGGAATTGGCAATAGGGTGAGAGGCTGGAGGGGGCATGGGGGGTGCGGGAGGAGGGGAGGGAAAGGGAACTGGGATTGACATGTAAAACAAGCTATTTAAAATAAAAATAAAAAAATTAAAAAAGAGTGAGATATATATATAGATAGATAGAGGGAGGGAGGGAGGGGGTATTTCTTAATTGCTACACATTTTATGAGACACATATCCACTAGGTTGGGCCTTACCTTATTCTGAGGTAAGTGTCTTTAATATAGGTTTAAGCCTATATTAAAGTGTTTAATAAAACCATCAACTTTGTTTCAATATGCTGACTAGTCCTGAAATTCTTCACATTGAAATCAGGAATCCTAGTTTGGCCTGAGGTTCCCTAAAAGTCTAGGGAAACTTTGTAGGACCAATCTGGGAGCATTTAGTTTCTGGAATTCATGTCTTATCTGGGTTTGCTATAGCATACTACTTACACTTTAGAGTATAGGACTAAGGTCAATTGTGTCTTTTTCTTTCTTTCTTTTTCTTGAGACCACATTTTGGAAATCGCACTTCCTCTCCTAGCCTGTTGGAGCTAGCAACTTCTGCTACTGCATGGAAAGTGCTTTGCATAGAACTGTCATTAAATGACAACTCTCATGACTATTAACAATGCAAAATCAGATTCATATACCTAGTGCCATGGCAGCTGTTTTCCTCTGTGTCTTTCACAGACTGTGTCAACACAACAGTTTTAAGACACAAATCAATCATTTTTCATTTCATGTCTTTCATTTACCTGTTCACAGAGCACAGGCTTGGCCTTCTGCATTCGTACGCAACAGCTTCACTAGAGCTTTTTTCTCATATGCCATTTTATTTTCATTTCTAAATTTATTTTAAGTCTTTTATTATTTTGAGAATTTCATGAATAACCATTGTATTTATATCATTTTTACTCTGTCAGAACATGGTTCAGGAACGGACTTGCGTGAGATTTCTGAGTGCTTGGAAGAAAACTCCCAAGAAACGAAGACAAAGAGTCTTGTGACATCATTTTCTTCAAAAGAATGGATTTGTTCTTGCATAATACTTTCATAATCTTCCCAGATATAGCAGATAGCAGTGAGTTTCCTTCTGACTATTCGTTACAGCTATCTACTGTTATCTGTTAATATGCCTCAGTGGAATAATGCGTCTGCCACATACAGCTTGCCCTTGTGATTGCATACTTTACTCAGGTGATCTTTCTTAACTCTTAGAGTGTGAATTGTCTGATGCTCTGAATAAAGTTGGCTATTGCATGAGACTTTGGTCCCCTTCATTTACAGGCTCCATTCTGCCAGGTCCCACCCCCTCTAAAGCAGGAAACATGACTTCTCTCTCTCTCTTAACACTGCAACTCCTCCCATGTCTTGTCTCAAATCTCTGTCAAATTAATGACTTCATCATTATTATTATTACAGACACACACACACACACACACACCTCATACCACATTTACTTACATTCATACACACAGAGATATGTAACCTACTGAGTCCATTTAGTGTTGGTCACATGTACAGTTACTCAGGGCTGACCACTTGGGATTGTAAATGCCTTTGGGTTTGGCTATCGAGAAAACTGTTTCTCCCTCTCACAACAGCCATGCATTAATAGCTAATGGTGGGTCTTTGTGGTATTTCCTCTTTCTACTTTTGCCTGTCAACTGGTGGAGTCATTATGCAGGTCTTATTTAGGTAACCACATTGTTATGATTTCAGCGGTGTAACTTCCCTGGCATTGTCTCCATCAGACATCCAAGTTCTCTGGCTCTTACAATTTTTCCATTCCCCCTTCAATTACTTTCCTTGAATCTTAGGTGAGGGCTTGTAGAATTACCATTTGGGATTGGACACCAATGATTAGTTGTTCTATACATTTTCTTCTACAAATGAAGGAATTCTGAAGAGGTGTGGAAGCTGCCCTTATCTGTGTGTACAAGGGTAAATGTTTACAATAAAGTTAGGGATTATATTAGCTGATGAAAATGGCTATAGTAGGCTCTCCTCTAGGGTCTATGACTCCTCCAGTCACATGTACCTGGCTTGTCTTCTAGTATTGGTCATAAATTCTCACCTATTAAGCAAGTCTTACGTCTAATTACACAGCTGTTGGTTACTCCCAACTATAAAACTACTATTATTGCACCATTGGGAATTTCTTGCCAGGCTGGTCTTTGCATTTCATAAGCTTTTTACAGCAGGGTGGGACATTTGTTTGCCTTTCTCCCTCGGAGATTTGCCCAGAAATGTCAGATATCATGAGGACTAGTTCTCAGGGAGGAGGCTTCTATGTCAGATTCAGCTAGATTCGTTCAAGTTCTGTGTCTGAAATGTGCAGTGTCTTCAACAAAAGGGACTTACCTCCAAGTTCTGGGAGACAACCAAGAGAAAGGAGATAGCCTGTATTGGGTAGTCTTTTGAACTATCTGGCCAACACTTGGAAGGGAGATTTTCTATGTATTACACTAGAGTCTATGAGTCTATAGATCTTTGGGTGGCGCCTTTGTTATTATCCCATGTGATATAATCATATTTAAACTGTGTGTGTGTGTGTGTGCATATCTTTTATGTAAGCTTATTCGATTCCCTATGGCTTTGTCAAATGTCCTTAGTGTTAGTTATCTCTCCTTCCTCCCATCCTCTGTATATGACCCTCCCATTTTAATATTTAGTTGAAGCCCACCCCACCACGTTCCCCTTCATAGAATCTGTGTCTTATCATCTTCCTCTCCAGAGATCCTTCTCTACCTCTCTACCCGTGGTCCCTATCCATTTTCCTGGCTTCTTTATTCTGTTGGAGTAATGTCCTTCCATTGATGCTTTTGCTCTTCATTATTTCTCATCAGTTTATTTACACTTCAATATGTCTTTCACTGTAATACTCCATGTTAAAAAGCTAACATGGAAGAAGGAAAAGCTCAGGGGGCTTCAGCTCCACACAAAGAACTACAGGAGACTGAGGAATGCTGAGAGCTAGAGAAATTGTCTCTCCTAGGGAGGAGCATATCAACTGGTTATCCAATAACAGATAGTCCTGAAATTTACATACAAGTAACATTAGACAGGCTAACCTGGTTGTATTTACATATTTAGGAACATGTAGGCACACATACACACACACACGTTTGTAACAACAATTAACAAAAAAGGAGGCCATGAATTTGAAAGATAAAGAGTACATGGGAGAGTTTGGAGGGAGGAAAGGGGAAATGATGCGATCTATTATAGTCTCAAAAGTAAAAATAAAAATTAAAAAGATGACTTAGTCACCATAGTGTTGGAAATTGTTTTTCTGATAAATTTGATTTATTTTAATTTTTATTTAAATTAAAATAATCTTATGTTACATACCAATCCCAGTTTCCTTTCCCTCCAGTCCTCCCACTCCCCTCAGCATCTCCTTCATTTCACCCCCTCCATGCACTCCTCAGAGAGGATGAGGCTTCCTATGAGGTAATCATCAAAGTCTGATACATCATTTGCTGAAGGATCAAGGCCCTCCCCCCTGCATCTAGGCTGAGAAAGTATACCTCTGTAGGAAATGGGCTTCAAAAAGCTAGTTCATGTACTAGGGATAAATACTGGTTCCACTGCCAGTGACCCCATAGACTGCCCAAGCACCACAACTGACACCCATGTTCAGGCAGCCTGGTTCAGTCTTATGCAGGTTCCCCAGATGTCAGAATGGAGTTCATGAGCTCCCACTTGCTCAGGTCAGCTGTTTCTGTGGGTTTCTCCAGCATGGTCTTGACCCCTTTACTCATCACTCCTCCCTCTCTGCAACTGGATGCCAGGAGTTCAACAACTCAGTGCTTGGCTGTGAATCTCTGCTTCTGCTTCCATAACCTATTAGATGAAGGCTCTATGATGGCATTTAAGGTAGTCATCAATCTCATTATAGGGGAAGGGCATTTAAGGTACCCTCATCACTTTTGCTCAGATTCTTAGTTGGGGTCATCCTTATGGATTCCTGGACATTTCCCTAGTGCCAGGTTTCTTGTTAACCACATAATGGCTCCTTCTATAAAGGTATCTCTTTCCTTGCTCTCCTTCTCTGTCTTTTCCCTAACTGGACATTCCTGATGCCTCATATTCTCCTCCCCTTCTCCCTTCCTTCCTCTCCCATGTTCCCAATTTACTCAGGAGGTCTTGTCCCTTTCCCATTCTTTGGGGTACCATGTATGTCTCTCTAAGGGTCCTCCTTGATTCTTAGCTTCTCTGTGGTGTGGATTGTAGGCTGGTAATCCTTTGCTCTATGTCTAATATCCATATATGAGTGAGTAATACCATGTTTGTCTTTCTGTGTCAGGGTTATCTCACTCAGGATAGTTTCCTCTAGTTCCATCCATCTGCCTTCGAATTTCAAGATGTCATTGTTTTTTGCCGCTGAGTAGTACTTCATATGTTAGCCATCAAGGGGCTGCAAATCAAAACAACTCTGAGATACCATCTTACACCTGACAGAATGGCTAAAATCAAAAACACTAATGAAAGATTATGCTGGAGAGGATGTGGAATAGGGAGCAATCCTCCATTGTTGGTCGGAATGCAAACTTGTGTAACAACTTTGGATATCAGTATGGAGGCTTCTTAGGAAAATGAGAATCAATCTGCCTCAAGAGCCAGCAATTCCACTTTTGGGCATATACCCAAAGCATGCACACTTGTGCCACAAGGATGTCTGTTCCAAGCAGCATTATTTGTAATAGCCAGAACCTGGAAGTAACCAAGATGACCCTCAACTGAAGAATGGAAAGAGAAAAATATAGTGTTGTGATTTGTAAGTCAAAATTCTTCTATTTCCTGTTGTTATATGATGTCAGCTGAATTCCAGTCCAGGGAAAGTCTTAAATAGACACATGCTTTGTTGGGAAGGATAAATGGTGTTATATATGTTGACAGGAAGGAAGAAAAAGAAAAGGAATAGGAGAAGTGAGGAAAAGATTTCATAATATTAATGTGATAGATAGCCCATTTAATATCAGCTCAATTGTTTATTCTTCTAGTTGACAATGAGAACCTGGGAGAGTAGAGTCTAAAAATAAGGCATACTAAAATCTCATTCACTAGCTAACTTTCTTCAGAGTATCAGAATATTTATACCCTGAGAGCTACTAAATGTCAAAATTCTCATGAGTTCAAGCTGAATATATTCATAAAGATGGCTGCACATGGCAAAAACATGTTTTCCCATAGAGGCAACATAAACAAATAACAATAATCAATTGTAATGAATAACTCAAATTCACTCCTATCAGCTATACCTGAGTGGAGCACGCAAACACACTTTAAGAATAATTTCATATTTTGAAGAAGATTATGGCATAAGACTCTTGTCTTGTTTTTTGGAGTTTTCTCACAGGCACCAGGAACTCCCCTTGCAGGACTGTGTTCTTGGACTGTGTTCAGATGCTCAATGTTGAAGGAAGTCTGTTAGCAGTAGCTGAAGCAATTCTGTTGGGTGATATTTTGATTGCACTCTGGCACTCCTGAGACTGACACTAATATTTACTTTGAATTAGAGGTCTGAGCTAGCAAGTGGCTGACCAAAGTCAGACATAGATGTTTTGGAGGACCACGGACATACAGAGAGATACAGGAAGTAGTTGCAGAGGCTTTATGAAGATTGTTGACCCTTTATGAAGATTGTTGACCCTTTTGAATGGAGGAAGGAGAGAGGAGATCACTAGTTGCTTCTCTGTCACTTCTCTGATCATTCATGTTTTTATCCCGATATCTGACCCCCAAATTTTTATTGATAGAGAATAATTAGATAAATGTTTCACAATTCTATTGTCAGCCCTTATTGTGGAGGTAAGTGTCAGAGCAGTCACCCAGGAAGGAAATAGCAGAAGCTAAGTTTCAATATTCAGAAGACTATGTCTCTAGAGCTTGGTATATGAAATTATTTTGCCTCTGTATTTTCTCTTTCTTAATGCAACAATTTAATAGTGAGGGCAGTTTAAATCCATGTCTAACGGTAGACATGAAATCACAGAATATGTATATCTCAGGCAGAAAGATGGTGAGCTCAACTGCCAGTCTGGGCTATATAGGGAGATGCTGTGATGCTGTTTCAAGAAAAGGGGGAAAGAAGAGAGAGAGAGAGAGAGAGAGAGAGAGAGAGAGAGAGAGAGAGAGAGAGAGAGAGAGAGAGAGGAGGGAGGGAGGGAGGGAGGGAGGGAGGAAGAAAACAAGAAAAGCCATCATCACAAGCCAGAGGACTGCCTCATAGCTCTAGTTTCATCAGCCTCTGATTATGTGAAGTGGGCCAGAACTCTGGTGGTTGCTTAAAGTGGGAATTTGATTAGCTGTGTACCATTTTCACAGTTTTTAAAATCTGTCTTAGCTTTGTTGTTGTTTGCTTTTCAACATTAAAAGAACCATACTTTCAGATTGATGAGTGGCTCATAGCAGGTAGATAGACAGTAACTCTTACCAATGCAACTGGTCAATGGCTGCATTCTGTTTCTTCTGTTTACATCTCCACCCTTGGTGAGAAATCAGACACTCATAAAACATCACCCACTGACATTTTTATTGTCATTCCTTAACAGGCAGGTGAGAAAACAAAATCCAAGTGATGGTAAACTTTCCTAAGTTCCTGGATCAACCAATGACAGAACTGTGGTTTTTAACTCAGATCTGTCTAACTATGCTGAACCTTTTCTACATCATCAACTGTTGGAAGCATAGCACTAAGGCCTTTTCACCCACCAATCTCCAGAGAAAGCAGAAATGTTAACTACACAAGATTGACTTTCTAGTGGGAAAGGTAAAAAACCTGTTCTGCTACCCAGAAAACAGAAAATTGGGAGTGATAAATGGGCTGGTGATCTGTGTTATCTGTTGGGGCAGGCCACATTAAGCTCATACAACCAAGACGAGAGGTGGCTTAGTAATCTAAATGACCCTTATTAGACAGAGGCTTCTTCTACAAGCTCCCACAACCAGACTAGAGTTGAATAATAGCCCAAATGACCCTTAGGGTCTTAAGCAAGCACAGATAGTGTTTCTCTAGAACCTATTTTCTTGGAAGAAATGACGTGCACCCTGAGGTGAGTTTCTATGTAATTATGTGTCCTTGTGCAACAGGGTTTGTGTAACACCAGGAAACATTTTTTTCCAAATTGTTCTGGGCTCTGACAGATTCAGAATAACTGATTAGACTGTGGGAAGTCTGTTCCAGGTTGATGAACTCAGTCAGCACTGACTTTTCATTCAGTCACTAGAAACCAGTCTTGCATTTAGTTTCAAGTGTACATGGCTGCCTTTTCATGAAACCAAAAGATAAAATGCCAATCAGTGTTGAAACTGATACTTGCTGAAGTAATGTATGGCTTGAGTTATTGTGGTTTTACCTGTCCTAAAATAAACATAAATAAATGCTTACAATTGCAATCAAATTAACACTAAATTACATGCCTCTTAAATAATGACTACAGCTTTTACATAATTAAGGCTTTTTTGTTGTTCTTGGTGATTCTTTTTTTTCTTTTCTTTTATTACAGGAAAACAGTTAGCCTTTATTTATTAAACATACCATCAGTTTTAAGAAAAACATTATACATGGGACTTCATTAATTCAATGAAAAGTTCAGTTATTTTTATGCCGTGCTGTCCCCGTCACCATGAAAATGCAATTGAGTCAACCAAAAATTACAAAGTAGAAAAGAATAAACACAGAAGGAATTCAATTCAAGGAGCTTTAAAGGTTGTTCAAAGTTACCCAGGCAACTAAGATGAAACTCATGGCTAAACCTTGTTTCTCCAGATTCTATATAGAGGAATTTGGTTGCAATTATGCTGTACATTGATTATCATGCTTTAATAGATAATCTGAGTGTTTTCTTCTTTTTTATTTTTGACAGGTTTATTTTTTAAATTTAAATTAATTTTAATTTAATTTAAACAAGGTTGCTTCACATGCCAATCTGAGGTCCCTCTCCCTTTCCCTCCCCTCCTCTCCCATGCCCTCCCACCAAGTCCGCATGCCCTCCCCCAATCCCCACTCCTTTCCCCAGGGAGGGTGAGGCCTTCTGTGGGGGTGTCCATAGTCTGTCATTTCATCCAGGGCAGGGCCTAGATCCTATCCCAAGAGTCCAGGCTGAGAGTGCATCTGTCATTGTGGGATGGGCACCCAAAGTCCATTTGTATGCCAGGGATACTGATCTACTACCCAAGGCCCCATAGATTGCCTAGGCCTCCTCCCTGACACCCACATTCAAGGGGTCTGGATCAGTCCCATGCTGGATTCCCAGGCTGATGCCTGGGATTCAAGAGTTAACCTTTGTCAGGTCAGCTGTTTCTGGGGGTTAAAAAAAAGCCCAGTCTTGACCCCTATGCTCATAAGTCCTCCCTCTCTGTCACTGGGTTCCTTGGGTTCATCTCAGTGTTTAGCTGTGGCTGTCTGCCTCTGCTACCATCAGTCATTGGTTGAAGGTTCTGTTTCCAAGACTCTCTGGCAGTGGGATTGTAGGATGGTACTCCCCTGATCCATATCTAAAATCCATATATGAGTGAGTACATACCATGTTTGTCTTTTTGTGACTGGGTTACCTCACTCAGAATGGTTTCCTCTAGTGCCATCCATTTGCCTGCAAATTTCAAGATTCCATTGTTTTCTGCTGAATAGTATTCCATTGTGTAAATGTACCACATTTTCTCTATCCACTCTTCAGTTGATGGACATTTAGGTTACTTCCAGGTTCTGGCTATTACAAATAATGCTGCTATGAACACAGTGGAACAGATGTCCTTGTATGAATGGGCATCTTTTGGATATATGCCTAAGAGTGGAATTGCTGGGTCTTGTGGTAGGCTAATTCCCATTTTTCTGAGGAATCTCCATACTGATTTCCAAAGTGGCTGTACGAGTTGGCACTCCCACCAGCAGTGTAGGGGTGTTCCCCTTTCTCCACATCCTCTCCAGCATAAACTATCATTGGTGTTTTTGATTTTAGTCATTCTGACAGGAGTAAGATGGTATCTCAGAGTTGTTTTAATTTGCATTTCCCTCATAGCTAGAGACATTGAGCACCTTCTCAAGTACCTCTCAGCGATTTTAGACTTCTCTATTGAGAAATCTCTATTTAGTTCTGTAGTCCACTTTTTAATTGGATCCTTTGGTATTTTGGAGACTTGCTTCTTGAGTTCTTGGTGATTTCTTGTTCTTTGTTTCTATACCATATGGTGGTGCTTTGCTCTTGTGATTCCAGATCTATTAATAGGATGATTAATTTTATTATGCTTATGGTTTGCATGTGAATGGTTTCCCACAGGCTTATGTACACTTGATTCCCAGCAGGGGAAAGAACAATGCCATTTCTTGAGGGTTGAAGTCTTTCTTGCTTTCTGCAATGGCTCTCTGTTTCTTCAATACAGCAGTGATATGAAAGCTCCAAGCTCTCACCACCACAGACCAATCTGCTTCAGATGCTATGCCATCTCTGCTCTCCTGGACTGCTACCCTCTCAATCCTTGAATCTTTCCTTTTTTCCTCTCAGATATTTGATTACAGAGACTAGGAAGGTAATACAGTGTGAAGAAGTACTAGATTAAGCATGGGAATAAGGCTTGGTGTTTTGATTTATTTCAAGTGTATGATGTGTTTTGCATGTATGTATGTTTTTGAACCACATGTATGCCTATGGCAATCAGAAGGGGACATCAGATCCACTGGAACCAGAATTACAGATGGCTGTGAGCTACCATGTGGGTGCTGGGAATTGAGCTTGCGCCCTCTGCAAGAGTGACAAATGTTTTTAACTACTGAGCCATCTCTCCAACCCTTCAGTGTTTAAAGCTCTTGCTATACAGTATGAGGCTGAGAGCAAGGATCCCCAGAGCTAGCTGAACAACTAGTTTAATAGAATCTGAGATCATTGGCTTCAGTGATAGATCTTGACTGCCTCAGTATATGAGGCAGAGAGCCAGTGAGAAAGACGCTTGATATCAATGCCTAACAAGCACATCCATATACATACATATTCAAGAATACATTTACACAATCACACACACATACACACACAACATTCTAGAAAATGACTTATACTTAATGCATATCAATGTTTAATTGTTTATTATACTTTGGCAAGAGCAACCAATAGTTTTATGAAACACTAGTTCTCAGTCATCATTTGTTAACATTTGGAGAGGTTTTAGTGTTCATGATCGAAAGATGTAGTACCCTCAAGTGAGAATATCCAATGATAACGTATTTACAATAAGGAATTATGTGGTATAGGGCTGAGGATGTATCTTATTTGGTAGAGTACTTCCTTAGCTTGTACAGTGCCTTACATTTTATCCTAAGACCCACATTCAAAAAACAGATATTGTAATCCCAGAACAGGAGGTTGAAGGCATGGGGATTAAAAGTTCAAAGTCATAATCAGTTATGTATGGTATTAAAGGTTGGCCTGAAACCATTATTTCAAAAATATATGTAGTATAAAATGTTAATAGCACCTAAGTAAGAAGCCCTGATATTTTTTGCCGAATGTTGTTACGTCTATAGAGATTTCAGTGAGTTTAGGCAGCTTGCTCAACTGTTCATAGCCTACAAGTTAAGACCAATGCCAGGAATAGAAGTTATATCTAGATCCAAGCCCATACTTTCCATCAAGAGGAGGGTTATAATTTTAGTTCAAGGTAGATGAAAATTAATACACATATAACATAACTTTTCAAGGGATGATGAACTGAGAATAAGTCATTTTCGAGTGGAATATTTAACCAAAGTTTCTGGCAGTGCTATGACAGCCAAAGTTACTGCCTAACATATCAAGTGAGAATAAAGCTGTAAAGATGATACAAAAATTGGAATAATTTTTCTTTCACTTAATTACACCACAAACACACACACACACACACACACACACACACACACACACACACATCTTCAAGAATGTTGTGACGGCATGTTGGAGCTTTAAACGACACAGGCAGCCAGACGAGATTATTCATGTTTCTAGAAAAGAGGGTAATCAAAAAGAATCCATCAAGACTTCATTAAAAATAGAGACATAATGGAACAAAATTGATACCAAGGAAAGAATTGATGTATCGGTAAACTGCCTGCATGCTAAACAACCTTTTAAATGAGTTAATTGCAGCTTAGAAATATAAATAGATCATTTGGCTCACTAAAAAAAAAAGACTGGCTGCTTACTAGGCTTATTTTACAGAAACCTCTTTGCATTTTATTCTCTATTCAGCTAAATATAATGCACTGGGATTTATATTTGTAAACACACACACACACACTTATGTAAGCAATTTACAGGGACTGAGCCTATATATTTTAGACTTCCATTTGGGAGAAGGATATATTCCTCCCCTGAGTCCTTTTCCTAGTAATTCTATATAGGGTTTCCTCAGGGGGAAGTAACAGTTGATAGAGGCAGATACTTGAAAAATGAAGACAATTAGTTCTTACTCATACCCTGAAAATTGGAGGATGTGTAGAAAGGTGATGTTGCTGATAATGGGATGGGATGCTACTTTGAAGATGGCACATTTGCATGGAGAAGACATCCTCCAGTCTTTACCTCTGGTCAGCTGATGGTAAGATTGCCAACTGCTTCTAAAACTACTGAGAACTGACTTTGTAACATGTTTCCAGAACAAAAAAATCATTTGCATTCCTTGCCTGTTTTTCTAGAGTCTAGTACATGTTTACAGGGTAAAATTCCAAATTTTGTTTGTTTGGTATTAGGTATTTCCTTAATTAGTAATTGGGTGTATAAGAAAATTGTTTACAGGTGAAATGAGTCTATGTAGTTAGAAGAAAGAGATCTGTAGATAATGTGAGTGAGTACTCACTTGGGAAACAAGTGGGTGAATAAGCAATTGGCATGCCTAGTTTAGACACTGACAATGTCACTTGAAAACTGAAATCTGAAGTGAATTAAGAAGCTAAATATGGATGGATTCCTGGGAAATGTTTCTGAACAGAGCATTAGAAAGGAAAAGGCCTTATCTGATGCTATGTTAAATCTACCCAAGTCTGTTGTGTAAGAGATGAAAAACAAGCTCACTGCTTTTCTTTCCCTCTGCCATGGTCATGTTGTATTACCTCCATTAGTTGTGGTGTAGCCAACAGAAAGGCGATACTTCATTGAAGTTTTGATTTTCATTTTGATTCTGTCTCCATTTTTGGAATGAATACATTCAAGTTTTGGAGGGTATTTTTGGGTAGACTGTGACAGCTTTTCATATTTTTCATCTTTAGTTTTCAAACTATTTTTGTCCTAAAGAAAATTTTTGCTTAAATAAGTGTTAGATGTTTCTCTGCTTATTGAAAAACACATTAAGCATATCTCATGAGAACTTGATAATGTATTTGCAGTGTTGTTAAAAAAACAGTATATCCAAAAATGCCTAAGGAACACAAGTTAAATAATAAGATATCCTGCATTAGAGTTCACTGGCAAAATAAAGTCAATAGAGAAACATTTCTGGGGATTTCCAAAAAACGTGAGACGGTGAAGTGACTGGATACTAAACTATAATGGATAAACAACTCGACTACGCCCTTCTTAGACTCCTGATCATATTAGAGATGCTTCCTGACTCTTGTCTGGTTTTTGAGGAAATCATAGATGTCTGAGTAAAATTAGGGAAGCAAAAATCTTTCTAAAAAAGAAAAGTTAGGGCTTGAACACATTGTTGCTGAGTTATGGATGATACCAGGATTTGGTGACTGGTTAGCTGTCCTGGATTAGCTTTGGTGTGACTAAGGGTATTCTCCTTGATGAGTATAGACTTGTCTTGGTCATCATAGACCTTGGATCTGGAGAGCACTAGTCTTGCCAATCCTCTTATTTCTTAACGAATATTCATGTTATATCCTCATGAAGTTACTTTCCTAAAGCTGGTTACTCAGGTAGGTCTTAGACTCAGGTATTTTGAGTCTCAGTTTGTTTTCTCCCTTCTACATGGTGTGATGTCTGTCTGACAATGAATAATTGGCAGAAAGAGAAACGCCCCAGTTCTTTTGGGGGCTAAGGAGATTGAATACAGACTGTCCTATTAAAGATTTAAAATCCAAAGAACCTTGTTGATAACAACACAGTAATATCCTAAAGTAACAGAGCCAATGTGGTTTATATCATAGTACAGCAGAGGTGATAAAAATTAAAAAATAAAAAATGCTTGTTATTGGCCTAGCTAAGAAACTTTTTGCATTTTGTGTGCTTTACACATATAAACGATGGCAGCATAACACTAACTACGTGTAGAAAAATAATTCCTGGAAATATTCTAAGGTATTAAATCATGGCATTTTCTGTTATTGAGAGCAGGTGTAAGACTTCGAAAGGAACCCTGTGAATTAGGAAGAAAGGAAAGCCCATGTACCGATCCTTCTTCACCCTTCAAAACAGAAGGAGCACAGGTTCAAAAAACTGCTTTTCTTAACACTTAAAATTTTGATTATAAAAATGGAAATGAAAACAATACACATTAATATAAGAGAATATCATAAAGAGTTCATTTTTGTTTAAGTGTGTTTTCTTTCTGCAATAAGGCATTGCAAATTTGTGATTTAAAACCCTTTATCATGTAATTCTAGAACATAGACTTTTAATAGAGGATAAAGTCATAGTGTCAATGCAATGTCATTTCTGCTTGCAGTCTCCAGGAAGAATCCATTTTCCCGTGTTTCTCATTTTCTAGAACCTGTTGCATTTAGTGAGCATCCTCCGTCCTCAGAGCTATCAATGTTTCATCATTTTGGTCATTGTTAGAGTGACATGTCTTCTGGCTCTCTCCCTTTACACTTTCTTCATCTCTTAGAGAACTTATGATTACACAAGGTCCATCTGCATCAGCCAGAATAAACATGTCTTAGTATCAACTGTACATACAAAATCTAGTTTGCTATTTGAGATAACATTCACTAGATGTGGACTTCATTAGAGGGATCATTCTTCTGCCTACTGCACACTGCAAGTTTTGTACAAAAAATGTCCCAAAAGTCTACTGTATCTCCAGTCCTCCCTGATTCCCAGACTCTCTGACTGTGGGATTGTAGGCTGGCACTCTATTTTTACTTTTTGAAGAGGTCTTTTGCACCATCTTTAAAGCTTCCAAATGATGTTTTGATTCATCAAATCATGCAGTTTCCAAGAGCCACTGTTATTTTCTGGTTTGTGCTTTGCAGAAACCTGTGTCCTTTGTCTTTAGTTACAATATATTTTGCCTAGAAACAGTAAAATTGTGTTTAACCATCTATTCTGTACATGAATACTCTTTCTCTTCTGAGAGTCAAGTCTTTCTTCTGCTTACCTTGGTCATTCCCCCTTGTGCTGTAGTCTTCATTCTGTTATCTGGAGATCATTAACTGTATTCTTATATTTAACATTAAGGAAATCATGTAGCTGATGTTGTACTCTCTGTGAAAGAGGCTTGTGGACTAGAGCTTTTATGTCATAGTGAGTAGAACCTAAGCCTTTGGGTGAATGTTGGAAGTAAGAGGGCTTTGCTTTCTGCCACCAATGTGAGATGCTAGACTATAGTTTAATCTGCATGAGAAGCCTGTTGTATACCTGCCCCCAATGAATCCTGGTTTCCAGCTCCTCTATGCTCTTGCTGTTTGCTCTTCTGCTGTCTCTGATCTGTAATATTTACAGAGTCCTGCTGGACATGTTCTTTTTCATACCCATCCTCTTTGCTTTTATACCCAGCTATTAAATCACAATATAGACTTCTCTAAGTTGATGTTTGGAGATTATTCTACTCATTCTTTTAATTGATATCCCCTTTGTTACTTTAGTATTTATTATAATCTCATTGAAGTATGCAGAAGAAGAGAAGATGAGTTAATAGATGGATATTAATATTTTTTAGTTAAAAACACTACACTGGCCAGGTGGTGTTGGCCCATGCCGTAAATCCCAGCACTTGGGAGGCAGAGGCAGGTGCATGTCTATGAGGTCAAACCCAGCTTGGTTTGCAGAGTGAATTCTAGGACAAGCCAGTATTATTCACAGAGAAATCCTGTCTTGAACTACTCCTTACTCCAAAATCCCATATGGTGGGGGATAAGAGATGACTTATTAGGTAAAGTGTTTACTTTGTTTTCATGAGGACTTAAGTTCAGATTCCTAACACTCAAGTAAAATCTGGGAATAGTAGCATGTGTCTGTTACCCCAGTGCAAAGGAGGTGGAGACAGAAGGATGACAGGTGCTTGGTGGCTGATCTGTCAAGTGGAAAAATTGAGCTCCAAGTGCAGTGACACCATGTCTCAAAAGGAAAGTGAAGAGCAATTGTGGGTAATACTTGGCATTGACCTCTGGACTCACATGCATCCATATGGGGAAGACATGCATACACACACGCGCATGTGCGCTCACACATGCACACACACACACACATATATATATATATATATATATATATATACATATAGAAACAAAATCTCATGAAATGTTTAGCAAAAAGTAAGAAGGCTAAGGCTAAGCCCAGGAGTAGGTCGGCAAAACATACTTACAAGCCTCTTTATTCCCTACATATTTCAGTTATAGTAGGTTATTGTCTATTGGAGTTTAATTGGGAAGAGTAAGAAGGCAGACAAATTGCATAATTATATGATGTCAGCCACTGAAGCCATTTGAGAATGGAAACTTTTTGTTCCTGAAGATCTTCTCACTTCAAATCTGCCCACAACTCTTTAAACTATATAAGCATATAAAAATCTGCTATGATTATTGTTTTGATTTTATTATCTTTTATCTTTCTACTAAACTTTATAGAACTTTTGAATAATTTCAAATCTGGCATTTGATCATAATACTATAATAATGTATAATATTGTAGATTTTGGGGTTGCAAAAACAGTGATGAAATTGGGTGATAAAAACACCCAAAATGTGATTTTTGGAGGTCGGGGAAATGTTCCAGTCATCATAAAGAGAAACTGATGAGTTTGTCTTGGACTTTCTGGCTATGGTGATAGGCCTAGATTCTAGGTGAAGAAATCCAAATATGGGTTAAAACAAGTACAGACTGGAACCTGTGGTGCCATTTTATTGAGATAGGATATAACTGTATTTTAAGTTTCATAAATACCAACATAAGCATATTTGTAGAATGGTCTTCTGGAGTCCAGTGGAAGTGGTTAGAAAGGAGAGAACAGTAGAAACTTTGGCTGAAATTGGATTAACAAGTAAATAGAGCCTTAAGAAAGGCTGGGTGATAGATGCAGTAAGGAAAGGAAAGGGTCACAGAGCTGCTCCTCAGCCATGACTGGTGGCATAGGCCTGGCATCTCTGTCCCTTGAGAGTCACAGGGACGAGCATCAAGGTCAGCAAGAGATGGAAGGAAAGATACCATAGTTAGCAACTAGCTGATTATAGTTCACCAATAAGCTATGGGCCACTTGAGGCAAAGAATTTGGATTCATTCTGGAAATTCAAGAAAGGGAAATGGATGCTTAACAAAAATTACCTTCCTGTGGTAGGCATTGATTTCAACTCTATAACTGATGACAGGCATCCTAACAAACTCAGAAAAAGTTTGAGGGTGATATAGTAGATGTCACTGAGTCACAGAGCCAAAGGAAATTGTAATGGAAAAGATTATTTAAGGTATATTGACATTTTTTGGTGAGAATTTGGGTGTTTATAAGATACTATATTTTCGTGCTAGAAACTGGAAAAACAGTTCCAAAATGTTCTTTAGCATAAACAAATAAGTGATAATTCTGATTTTGGCTTGGATTCATTAAAAAAAAAACAAACCTGGAGCCTATTGCCAAAGTTGATGTTTGTTACAATTAACAACAAACCAAAGCAAGACAAATACTAGTAAATAACATGTATTAGTAAAAATATTATATTCTAAATGTGGAAGCAATAATTTTGAATTTGTCTTTTGCATTTGAATCCATAGCTGTTCTGTTAATACATTGTAAATTTAATATAAAATCAAAAGCTTTCAAGCAGTTTTAATGTGACATTTTTAAAGTTCCCATGAAGTTAGGAAAATTGCATTGTAATTGTAAGTGCTTGATGAGATATTTTAATGTAGGCTTCCTTGATGTGTATGAGACAGGAAGCCATCCTGGACTCTGAAAGATGCACCATACTTAAGTTTAATCTTATTTTGTAGATATGCCAATTGGCTGAAGGACAGAGCTTTCATACTTAACAGAATAACACAGTAGCACCTTGCCAGTAACTCAAACCCTTTGGAAAAAATCCTGAATCAGATTCATTTTGGAAAATGATTCTAAGTCCTCTAAACAGCTGTCATGAAGCCTTAGCTATAAAGTTATTCCCTCAAAAATTGGTGGCTGGATATCACTGACCCTAGTGACTATTGATGCAATGTGTGTCTCTATGAATATAGAGAACATCATTTGTTGACTCTACAAATACTAATTATGAGTTTAAAAAACTAATAAAAGTGCTAGAATTCATCAGTGGTTACAGGATTCAATCTACATGAGTGTATCTTTTAATACTTAAATGGTATCCTGTTTTATTATTATGGAAGTATACATGCCCTTATAATTAAAATTTCATAATGAAGACATAGAATCAACAAAGAAAACTTAGAGAATATCTATTTGCTAGTCTTTCATAACTGTAGCATGCCATTTCTTTTAAAAATGACTCCACAAATAATCATTATGTAATTCTTAAGTTGTTGTATTTAAAAGGATAGGCTAGGTGTTCTGTTAAAATTCACTGGCACTCTTGTAAAACTAAGGCCAGTGTTTTAATAATGTAGGATAGTGAAAGAAAGATGAAACTACTCCTAGCGCATGGTGTAGATATGTAAAATATCTATCTTGACATAATTTACTCTCAGAGAAAGCTTCTAGATTTCAGAATTTGGGCCTGAGTTTGGTGGACATACGGAAAGAGCACGGCATCTGCTCTTATTGGCCCCTTTTCATGTGACTGCTTCCAGCTGCTGCTTTTTTGTTGTGACTTCATGTCATTTGATGTTACTGACTTCCAGAAGTGCTCTTCTACATCAAGTCCAAGTCCATTTCTTCAGGAAATGATGAGACTCAACTGGAGAACAGCTGTGAGTCTTCGGAGGCAATGGTGGCCTAGTTGTTCAAGCATTACTCCATTTGCCTCCGACTTCCCACTCACCCATTTTCAGGGGGAAAATGTTTACCATTGAAACCCTGGGAAAAGAACAAGACAGTAATGAAATAACTTCAGCCTGGGACAATTGCTGCTAGTATTCTTCCGTTTATGCCAAGCGTATTCTGATTGACAAATGTATTTTCCTACCCAAATTATGAATGAATCATTGGATTGTTAGTACAACCTCTGAGCTATTTGCTAGCATAGAAACCTAATTTATTGAGTTGAAACCATCTCTCTGTTTCTTTTGAAGAAGAGGGAAGTTAGATCAGATTGTGGAAGAGTCTATGGCTAAAGGGATTCATTTCTCTTTTACTAGAATTACAATTTGGTTTCATTGCTATTCAAATGTTAAGAACTGACCTACCTAGCCAGGAGTTTGTGGGTAATGGACACCACCCACACCAATGAGGAAATATCAGGTGCAGTAGACCCTAGGGACTTGTGTGTGAATTGCGCTTCAGATTTCAGTCTGTGATGCTGAGATTCTGGTAATCCACTGACCTACTAACAGCTTCTGTATTTTCTATCTGGTCTCAGGTTACAGAGTAGGTGTGGACAGTTATCTGTCCTGTCTGGGTGTGAATCTTACCATCATTTCTCTTGTAGGTACAGGACACATGAATAGAAAAGAGAGGAGGAGCTTCTGGTAGAGGTGGGAAAAGGTTGGAGGATACTTCTTTCTTTTCATATTATTCAGAACATTAATATGATAGGGATGAATCGATCTTAGACACCAGTTGTTGGGGATGTTTTTAAATGAAAATTTACTACTTGTGTTTTATAGAATAAAGTACTACTTTGTAGATACTTCACTTTGTATTTGGTGAAGCACAGGGCATTACTGTTGATAAGAACCTCCTTCAAATTTCAATTTCATTTCTTTAATTTTTTTTTGAGTGGCGAGTAAAGGAGTATAGTTAGTGTACTGGGAATTTCATGTATTTTCTCTGCCTGATTCCAGAACTACATGACTGCCTGTTATAGAACTCCACCTGAGTTCTCTTCATTCTTTCTTTCTTGGCTGGAAGAGGAAATATATACTTTATTTTTACAAACTTCTTATTTTTGATACTAAAATATAATTCCAATATTCCCCCTTGGTTTTCTCTACCTTCACATCCTCCTATATGCCTTCCTCTTTCAAATTAATGACATTTTTATTAATTGTTGTTACATGCCCACTTAAGATGTCATTTGTGACTTCCTTTGTAGAGCCTGCCCTCTCTTCTGTGTCCTTTAACACAGTATCAGTTTGCTCTTTGTGCTCTTTGGAGCATATGGAACAGCCAGCATATTACTTATCATAGTCCATCTTAGTTCCTTATTGTGATCAGCTAGGGTTCAGTCAGGCTATTTGTTTCACAAGTAACTCATGCACTGAATAAAAATAATTAGGACTTATTACATGCCAAAACATTGTGTGAATATTGAGGAACTATCTGGGAGCTGGGTTTTGGGATATAGAGCTTTTATTATAATGTTGAAGATAAAATAAACAATTAGACAAAGAAGATAATCATAGACTTAGAGCATCATCATAAAGCCAGTAATTAAAAGATGAGAGGTTCAGTATCCAGTGTGCAATGGAGACTTCAGGGAGAGTTGTAGAGAAGTTCATTGTTGACCACAGCTCAGGAATTTAAAAATGAATGGGTTCTACTATGGGAAAATAATTATTGTCAAGAATAGTCTCAAAAGGACTAATGAATAGCAAGGTAGCAAAAAAGAGCATGGTATATTTGGGATAAAAGATGAGAGTAAATGAGTCCCCTAGAGCCACACAGCTGTTTAGTATAAGCAGTTAGTCTTTGTAGAACACAGCACATCGCATCTAGTAGAATGAGAGGAATTCATCGTTCCTTTACTCCTATATTTATTTATTCTTCCCTAGAAATATGAAATCAGAACAGCAAAATCACTTCTTCAACAAATAGTGTCTTCACTAGCTAAATTTATTGTTACAGCTTATATTTTTAATATTTGCTTTATATTAATAAACTTCACAAATAATAATACCCAAAATACACTATTTGTCTTTTAACTAGTATTACATCTGAGACCAGCATGATATTATTGTCAACTGTGTATCAACTCTGAAAAAAGATATATATACAAATTTGATATTATATGGTAGATTGCTTTACTATCTCAGATGAATCCGAGACAGACATCTCATTTAATCTGGGTCAAATTTCCCTCAGAAATTTAGAGGAAGAATCCAAGAGACTGATTGCCTTACACTGACAATAGATGTGGAAACTGAGAGATTTAGTAGAGTTAGAGCCATTCATTTCAGAGCAATGAGTTTCAGCAATTTGGTAGTAGAAGAGAAACTATGAAAAGCAGAAGAATTAAACTAACAGAAATAAGAAAATAGATAGAGTAAATACAGTGGGAAATAAAATTAAGGCCATGCAGCTCATCAAATAAGAGTGTGTTCTGGCAGACTCCCCAAGTCACTAGTGAATCACAGGAAGTCCAGGCAAGTTCTGTTCTGGTCCCTTTAAAATGTGTATAATGCACATATCCCCAAAACACAGACTCATAGACACACAGAAACCCAGACACACATACAGACACACACACACACACATACACACACACACACACACACACTCACTCACCCACTCAATTTTTTGAGGTACAAGTACACATGTGTGCATCAGAAAACATCATGATACAAAGACATACAAGACCCTTAATTATTAGCAGCTTTTCTTGTGAGCAAAATGACTCATTTCTAAAGGAACTGTACCCCAACATCTCTTGCCCCATAGCCTCTAAACAAAACACAGGTGGGTCAATTAAGGCTTTGGTTCTTTGATGTGAGAAATGAGTGTTGCTTCAGGGTACAAGGCCAGTATAGGCAAGTAGTAGCTGTTGGATAAGAGACAAACTCAGTGTACTAGTTAAGCCTTTCGCTCAGCCAGCATAAATGGAACAATCTTGCACAATAAGTGTGGGATGTTTATTTCATGTTTCTTTTCAATGCTTCAATTTGTGATTCCAGCAGTATTCACAGACAAGAATAGTATTTACATTTGTTTTACAGGATAACAAAGAATAATTTTATAATATTAAAACTATTTACATTAATAATAAGTTCATGCAAATGTAAGTTATAAGATGCATGATATTGTTTCTTTATATGACTGAAGACTCCTTTTGTTATCTTAAGAAATTTAAAAATAGAATAAAAATATTATGGATTGATATTATAAATTAGTATATATTATAATACATAAAATGACATGGAATTATTTTTCGCATTCAAAATTATGATTCATAAATTTATTATTTTATTTCTGAGTTATCGTTACTTCCTTTTATGTTTTTTTTGTTGTTGTTTTGAGACAGGCTCTCTTTATGTAGCACTGACTGTCCTATTTGCTCTATAGACTAGAGTTTAAATTAAGAAATTCAACTGCCTTGGCCTCCTGAGTGCTGGGATTAAAGGCATGTGCCACCACTGCCTGACACTTCCTGTTTTTATTAATTCAAATGAATATGTTTTATCTAAATTGAAACATACATCATAGTAAGTGCCAGATGATCAGGATGCCTGCTGCAAGATAGTATCTTCTACACATCTATGCATGTCATAGCAACATTATTTGTAATAGCCAGAACCTGGAAGCAACCTAGATGCCCCTCAACTGAAGAATGGATAAAGAAAACGTGGTACATTTACACAATGGAGTACTACTCAGCGGAAAAAAAAAACAATGACATCTTGAAATTCGCAGGCAAATGAATATAACTAGAAGAAACCATTCTGAGTGAGGTAACCCACCTACAAAAAGACAAACATGGTATGTACTTCCTCATAAGTGAATATTAGAGATAGAGCAAAGGATAACTAGCCTACAATCCACAACCCAGAGAATCTAGGAAACAATGGGGACCCTAAGAGAGACATATATGGTACCCTGGAGAAGAAGAAAGGGACAAGTAAATTGTGAGCATGGGGGAAGAGGGATGGAGGGAGGGGAGAAAGGAAGGGGGAAGGGGAGGGGAAGGAGAACATGAGAGATCAGGAAGGTCAAGTTGGGGGAAGAACAGAGAAGGAGAGCAAGGAAAGAGATACCTTGATAGAGGGAGCCGTTATGGGGTTAACAAGAAACCTGGTACTGGGATCTTACAAAAAAAGACATCACAGAGGTTGAAACATTTTCTTGTTTGCTTTTTAAAAAATATTAAGTAAATAATTCTTTTATTACTAGTTTTTGGTTCACATTTTAACTTAAAGGATTGTTGATCTAAAAGGATCTTTGCAGAATTCTCTGTTACTCATTCATCTTACTTATTAGAGAAGTTGAGGCCTTGAGTAGTGTATTGATTTGTCTATATTTCCAGGTCACACGTGTTTTTTTAAAAAAATACTTTTGTGCTTAAATTGAAGTTTATTGCCATCTCTTAAAAGAATAATCTGTCTTGTGGTACTTCGAATAAAAATGCTCAGGATTGGCACTATTTATAAAGATTAGAAGGGTTTGGAGGCATGGCCTTGTTGGAGTGGGTGTGGCTTTTTTGGACTGACTATAAGCCAGTTTCTAATTGAATGCTTTGATTTCTATGAGTTGCCTTGGTCATGGTATCTCTTTACTTAGAACCTTAGAACAGTGTCTAAGTGTCTAGTTCCCTTATCATTCCTTTATTTTCTCTTATCTTGGTTCATCAGACTACAATTCATGGGAGGAAACTGCATTTCTCCTTCCACTACCATGTGAGTCCTAGGGGTAGAACTCAGCCTGTTAGGCCTAAGCACCAGGATCTCTGCCCACTGAGCCATGCCATTGGTCCCCAGAATTGATTCCTTGTTTTGTCATGTATGCAAGTATGACTAAAGGAAGAGAAAGTAGTAACAAAGGAATTTTGCACTAAATTTGGATTTATACATGTCTTTCTTGCACCAAACTCTGAGTTCACTCTCCTGGGACACAGATATCCAAACCCTGATTTGTCTCTGAATGGTTTGGGGACCAACCTGGTTATGGAACAGGGTTTGAAGCTTTGAAATTCTGTGAAGCTGTGT